TACCTCAAAATTATTGAATTCTATATATATATATATATAGAATGTTGGATTAAATCCTACTTTAAAATTATGTTCTAATACTAATAATAATAATGCATGTGAACTCTTAGAATTTTTTCTATATATATATATATAGAATGTTGGATTAAATCCTACTTTAAAATTATGTTCTAATACTAATAATAATAATGCATGTGAACTCTTAGAATTTTTTCTATATATATATATATAGAATGTGGGATTAAATCCTACTTTAAAATTATGTTTTAATACTAATACTAATAATAATAATAATAATGAATGTGAACTCTTAGAATTTTTTCTTTTTAGATGGACTTGAAGTATAACTTTATTCCTAAGAGAATATGATGGATTCCATATCCATATCCCTGTGGCTAGTCCTCCATCCAAATAGGTCTGCTGGTTTTACAAATTGTATGAGCAGGGGAACAAGCATATAATATTTTATGAACTGGTAGGCCCATGATAATACAGCTCAACGTATACATGGAAAATCTATTAGAGATGGATCATATCCAACGCGGAACTGTGTATTCCTCAAGAACATGTCCTTAAAGTACTGATCCCACATCAACAGTACTGTTTGCACCATTTAATTATCAATTTTTTTTTTTTTTGAGCAGCTAGCTTGGTGTAACCTCGCCCCTATATAAGCACATATTCCATACGCGCATAACCATTCAGTGCACAAGCTTCTCCGTTTACGTCTCTTCAAATCTTCTTAGCACAGCGATCATCTTTCCCCACCAAACACACTTTACAATTGCTTTAGCACTCATAGAAGTAATGGGTATTCGCTTGTTTATTGCTAAGCAGATCGTGAGGCGTATTCTTTTTTCTCCAGAAACATCCGGTATAGTGCCGAAAGGCCATTTTGTGGTGTATGTTGGAGAAACTCTAAAGAGATTTGTTGTTCCCATCTCCTGCTTGAAGAACCCTTCATTCCAAAAGTTGCTTAGTCACGTTGAAGAAGAGTACGGCTTTAATCATCCACTGGGGGGTCTCACCATTCCATGCAGTGAAGAAGTCTTCACCAGTCTCACAGCTTGCGATTAATTTTTGGGCCTAAAAGAAATCTCATTGGTTGGTGCTATTGATCTTAAATATGTATACATCTTTTTACAAAAACAATATAAGTTGATTAATTCTTTTATTCATGGTGTATACCTTTTCCCTTAATTCTTTGACACTTTGGTCCATCCTTCAAATAAATATAGAAGAAAGAACATTAATTAGGATGATGCCAGCTTATGTAGCTATTATATTATATAGAAAAAATTATGTTTATTTTTCACAGACATATCTTATAAAACCTAGGAAAGATATAATTTAAAATGTGATCATACATATCAACGATATTAATTAGGTGAAATAATTAAAAGACCGCCCAAAATACATGATAAATCTGAACTTATAATAAATTGTATAGGAAGATCAAAATTTCATTTTTTGTTCCTAATAAATCCAACGGTTGGTTTGGTAAGAATTGATCAAAATACATGGAAAAACATGGGATAGTTCTCCTCCTCCTTACGATCAAACCAAGGTATATATGGATATAAATAGTCCCCCTCCCCCTTTATTAGAGCCTGTTTGTCTCTTCGAGTGCATTTGTTATGTTTTTTTTTTTAATACAGTAATATATTTGTTTGGTAATTAATAAAATGTTATTTACTATTTATGAAACCTATCATAATTTACGTTTAAAATGCAGCGTCACTGAAAATAGCTCGAAACTGCTTCTTCTCTTTTCCATATAGTAGAGAGTGAATTGCTAGAGAAGAATGTTTATTGCTAGAGATGAGGTCGTGAGGCGATGATGCCCGTTCAGCTAGTTAGGTTACCGAGATCTGTTGTGAGGGAAAGCAAAAATTCCCTTGATGATTGTTGGAGTTCCGAAGGAAAGCAAAAATCCCTTTCCTTTGTCTTGCTCTTTATTTCTTTTCTTTTTTTTTTTATCGATAAATATAATATATCACCAACAAAAAAAATTATATGTAATTTCATCGATAATTTATTTTTATCCGTCAGTATTTCCTTTGATAAATTCAACATGTAACTATCAAACAAACCGTTTGTATTTTAGCTATAAGTGAGTAAATAGTGGCAATAGCATTTGCAATAATTCTTTTCCAACTCACTAAAATATACAAAATGACTTAGTTTGTTGGTAACCCCGTCAATAATAATTTAAGAATATTTTCTTATAAAAAATCTATTCAACAGAAGTAGAAAATCATTAAAATAATATAAAAATCAAATTTAGTCTAGAATTGAGACAGTAGAGGAGGATGAGGTGGGTCTTTATCGGGATCATAAAGCCAATAAGAAGAAGCATATATACCACTCATCTGTGATCTCATCTCCATTACCAATTAGAGACATTCGACCACCTCAACATTGAGTCGTTCACAATTAGCATCAAGATATGTCGTTCGAGCTTGAACTCATTGGTCTAAAATCTTTTCGAACTTTAAAGTTTGAGTGCTCAATTGATTGTGAGAATTCAATAGTTGAAAAACTACAAGCCATCCGCAAGTCCTTGGATGTAGTGTTAGAAAGACAATACACCTAATTTCAAAATCGGATCCATTAGACAATCCTATCTCCAACTACCAATCTAAATTGAAATTTGAATGGGTAGAGGGATCATTCCCGTATCTTTTCTTCAACCAGGTGTTACATGTATTTTGAATAAAAAAAAGGGTTAGCAAATTTAAAAAAACAATAACTTCAGAAAAAAATGATTGAAAACCAACAAACCACAAAATACTTAGCTCAGTTATTCACGAGTTGTTGCATTTTTTTTTTTATGATCATTACTCTGCATATACTTAACAATAACTTCAGAAAAAAATGATTGAAAACCAATAAACCACAAAATACTTAGCTCAGTTATTTACGAGTTGTTGCATTTCTTTTTGATGATCATTACTCTGCATATACTTATCATATTTAATTAGCTTAGCTATAATATATCATGACTTTGCCCTTTTATATTTTCCATGAAGTTGATTGCATTGCTTAACATATTTAATTATTGTATTGCGTATGCATCAAACAAATGCAAAATATTGGAATGGTGAGATTAGACGTAATCTCATAATGTTATGTGTTGGATTGGATAAAATTCAAGACGTGTGAATATCTTATGATTTTATGATTATGATGGACACATTAATTAGTTGATGTGTTGTTAATAACTTGGTATTAATTAATAAGGAAAACTTAGAAAAAATAATTTTTCCCAATTTTTCTTGTGTTCAAAGCTAATGAAAGATGTCAAATGCTTAGAATTTTACTAGGTGTTATGATATTTTTATAAAAATTTTATTTGTTTTCAATTTCATCATTAAATCTAAATTTATCAAATATTATATTCTTTAATTTGGTCCATATTCTTTGGATTTCTAATTTTTTGCTTTGGTCCTTTTGTAAAATTTTTAGTGATTTTCAATTTCATCCTTCAATTCAAATTGATGATATTATATTTTTTTATTTTGGTTATTATTATTTTGATTTTTAATTTTTTCTTAGTCTTTTTATAAAAGTTATTATTCTTTTCAATTATATATATCAATTTTGACTCCTTATTCTTTTGATTTTTTTCTTTTGCTAAATTAATTTTTCTTTTTAATTTCACCTCTCAATCAAATATAAAATTTATTTTATTTATTAATTTTGATCCTCATTCTTTTTAATTGCTATTTTCTTGAATTCTTTTATATAATTATTTTTTTCAATTTTATATTTTAATATTTGATTAATTGAGAATTAGACTTTGTAATTTTTCTAGAATATATATTTCAAATTTAATGACTAAGGTTATGAGTTGAAAACTAACTTAATTTTTTTTAAAAAAATTATAATTTTTGTTAATTTTTTTTATCAATTATATCAATTTAATAATCTAAATCATAAATTTTACTTGATATCTGAGGGTTATCTTAATTTTAATTAACACAGTTGTCCGTGATTTCCCCCCCCTTTTTTCACCCCATTTCATCATCTAAAGATCACTTTTTGCAATAAAAAATTAGCCTAGCTTCATTGCGAAGCGCATACACCAAGACAAGTAATTACTTTAGTTTAGCTGGCTCTACATGCGTGTACTTTTTCTCGCTTTCTTAAAACAAGATAGAAGCTAGTGACGGTTGATTGATTGATCATAAATTTACATGAGTGATTCGATAGAGAACTTGGGTGGACTAGGACGTATCAATTCCTAAAAGAATGTGGATCATTAATCCGTTCCTTAGTCCCTCTCAGCAATCAAGGTGTCTGCTACCATGCCGCGTCCGAGCAACTTCATCTGGGCCAACATAGTTTCGTAATTTTGAAATAGGAGGACATGATAGTTTGAAATGTCGAAGGTATCACACGAAAATACTAGGTAGATCTTATCCACATGTAGGATAATTCAAATGACATATGTACCTTCATGTTCTGCAACAGTGTCTTTACCAAATATTTTTTTTTTTTTAGATTAACGTGGGTGTCCGGGCCAGCTTGCGCGCACCACGACTAATCCCACGGGCCCTAAAGTTAACGACCATGTAAGCCTCCAGTGGCCATCATATGAGCAACCAAGGACTCGAACCTGAGATCACAGAGGGAGCAAACCCCTTAATCTCAAGTCTTTACCAAATATTATTCATAAATGAGTGATAGTTTTTGCCCTGTATACACACACCAATTTCATGTGGATAGCATTCCCCTATTCTTTTTTCTTTCTTTTTAAAGGAAATGGAACAATTCCATTCTAAAAGGCCAATTTCATAATATATATATATATATATATATATATATATATATTTTACCGCAAAAAAGCTGAAATGAAGTAATAACCTTTTGCCATTAAGGCGAATTAATGATCACTGCATTTGTAGCAAAGAAATTGATTGCAGTTTAAGTTTTATAACAAAGATCGTTGTTGTCCAAATTACAGAATATCTCCATGGAAATTAAGCACGCATTTACAAAAAAATTGAAGAGACAGACTTGTTGTCTCGAATTGCTTAAACTTACGTGGGGAAGAACGATGAATGAGCCAACAAAAACCATATATAGTAAGTGATTTTGTGGCTTTAACATTTATGAAGTTGTACTTAGAAACGAAGTGAGGCTAGCGAAGCACTCTTCACTGCAAGGTATTGTGAGACCACCCATTGGATGATCGAATCCAAACTCCTCCTCAGCTCGATTTAGCAAGCCTTTGAATAAAGGATGGTTCAAGTATGCTATTGGAATAATACATCTCTTTCTGTAGCCTTCTCCAACAATATAGACAGCAATGTGGCCTCTTGGAACATTAGAAGTGGCCAAAACACCAGCAATTTTTGCTGAAAGACTTCTTTGGAGTTTTTGTTTGGCATGGGTAATCCCCATCAATTGAACTCCCATTTTTGAACAGAGAAAGAAAAAGGCACAGACCCTTTTTTTTGTTATGTTTTTCTGTAACGGGTTGATTAACCAAAGGAAATATGCTCTAGAGAGTGTGAGAGACTAGAGGCTTCATGGGTTCGACATCTCTTGGTAACTACACACATATATATAGAGGGGAGGCTCAAACATTCCAAAAATAGTAAAAGGGCGAGAGGTTCATATATATATATATATATATATATGAAGGAATATTAAGAAACATAGCAGGTGAAGGGCTAGCTAAAGTTTCACATGGTCTGTTTTGTTCGTTGATAGAGACATAGCATGACCTTCCTTCTTTTAAGAACGAAAGAGATCCGCAACTTGGCAACACACACACACACATACATACACATACACAAAGTATTATGTTGTTAAATAACTAGGAAAGCAATGATGAATTTTTGAATCCTAGACATGTTTTTGGCTGCAAGGAGTCGTCTCGATAAAAAATCCAACAAGGAAATTCCTGTTGCTTATTCACTGAGTAATTGAAATTAGACCTATATGGTATTGTCATTTGGTCTTTTGCTAGAACAGCTAATGAACCAACTATTCCGCGTTATTGTGATTGACGTGAGGTCCCATCATCACTAAAAAAAACTAAATTACTATAGATTATAATAGTATAAAAACAAAATTATCCTTGATAAAAAAACTAGCTTAACATACAATTGAGGGTATTGTATTTTTGATAAGATATATTTGCTTCTAATAAAAAAATTGATTAGAGATAAAATAGTTTATTTGTTTTTACTATAATATAAATATTGATTTGCCCTTGAGGGCACAAATTTTTAACTTACGGGTGGGGGGACTCTTTTATCTAGGGCACAAATTTTTAACTTACGGGTGGGGACTCTTTTATCTTTTTTTTTTAATAAAATAAATAAACAGTAAAGTTACAACCATGTTTTTAGAAAAAAACATATATATTGAGGAGCTCCTCCATTTTTTTCTAAATAATAAAAATATAAAATTACCCTTCAATTTTTTTAAAAATAAAACTACATATAGAGATTTTTTGTCATTTTAATATGGTTTTGTTGTAGATATTAGATGGGGTCGAGTAATTTGGTGTGTATATTAAAAAATAGCTAATGCATGCTAGTAACATGCCAGCAAGTGGGTGCCACTCGCACCAATCGGGTGGTGTTCAACACTTCTTGCCACCCCAAGCATGGTGATGAGACACATGGCCGAGGTGGCATGCGAAGGAGCTTCGATCGGCGGGTTTTTCCTCCCTCTCTCTTTACTCTCTCTCCTCCTAGAAAACAGTGCTGCCCATTGCAAAAAAACAAGAAAGTCTGGTTATATATATGTTAAGTTAAATTATATCCTCATTCTTTTGATTGTAATATATTTGGCATTGAGTCATTTATTGAGTTATTTTCTTATTTAATTTCATCCCTTTAAAATTAATTTTTATATCAGATTTGGTCTTTATTTTTTCAATTATACTGTATTTAGTCTTGAATTATTTATTAGATTTTTTTTTTTCAAAATCATCCCTTTGCACTTGATATATTAGATTTAGTCTTTATTTTTTTTTTAATTGTGGTGTATTTAGATAGAATCCTTTTCTAAATTGATTTTTTTTTTAATTTCATCCTTTATGATTTTGTTTTATTTTATTTTTGTGTCAAATTTTGTTTTCTTTCTTTCTAAATCTATATTTTTTAAGTTACTTCCTTTTTAAATTTATTTTTTCAAGTTTATCCCCAATTATTTTAGTTGGTTATTAATTTTACTTTGTTATTTTTTCATATTAGACTTTTATGTTGTGATTCAATCTCATACTATATGTTATAAAATTCTAAAGCTTGGAGCGAGTTGACTTCAATCATTTTTCTTTTCTTTTTTTAAATTTCATCCACAGTCATCGTGTTTGTTGGTAATTGGTATTCTTTGTTTCTTTTTTGTTTTGTTTTGAATTATTTGTTAATTTGATTTTTTTTCAATTTTGCACTTCAATTCAAGATTTTTGCTTGTCCTCTCAATTTGTTTTTTTTTTTTCAAATGAGGCCCATATTCTCTTAATTGCTATTTCTTTATCTTTTATTTTTTTATTTGATATTTCAATTATTGGGATTTGGTCTCTCAGGTTTCTTTCATTATTTGTAAACCCTACCTAGAAGTAAATCAAGGACAATGATCAGGTCACGGGTCGAGTAGGTAGGTTGACTGAAGTTAACTTAAGCCAATCAACTTTTTTTATAAAAAAAATTAAAATAATATTATTTTGAAAAAAAGAAAGGAAATTAGTCAATGATTTTTAACTAGATTTTTCTTGGCTAACCAAAACATGGGTCAACTTAGATTTTTGACAATCTTACACTTGATCAATTCTCCCCCAATTTCTTTTGAGCCTCGGCCTAGTCATGGGTCAAACTGTTGGGTTAAACCAAGTTTTAAAATAGTTGCTTTCCAGATGCAACATTTCCAATATAGTTAGTACCTAGAGTTATGAGTTTGAAAAGTTTATACAAATTGATATTGTTTTCTTTCTTGATTCATCTTTTAAGGTTGTTCATTTTAAAAAAGGAGATTCGTTTATCTAGGTGGTGGCCTAGGTTTCTTTTGAAGTCATTTTTTTATCCTCTTTTTTATTTGATCATTTAAAATTTAATTCTTTTTAAAATTAATTTTGTTCCCCCCCTATTTTGCCTTCTATTTGATAACCTGTCTGTGATCCTACTCGTAGGTATTAACAACCTCATTTGGTTTTGCTAGTACTTTATGTCGCACGTGTGCGGCGTCACGACGATCATCCACCATCCATTTCTTTGATGGGATGTGGTGTATTTCTAGCAAGATATGAAGAGACAAGGAATTCTTGTCTCTTATCAGTGAAAACATTGAATGGGAGTCGCCACCTAGTATTCTGGTAACTAGGAACCCTAACTGGTCTTTAGAGATCGGGTACGAAGACTGGTTGCGTAAAGGGAAGGTATTAGCACCCCGACTATGCCCTACCTAAGGTAGGCTGCATTGTTTTGTCTGATAAAATATGAAATCATGTTGTGGTATCTAATTATATGTGTATCTAAAACCAAAGAAACTTTTAAAATCAAGAATACGTGTTACGTATAACCTCATAATCCCTGATACTAAACAAAACAAAAAA